TCTAGTTCCCTTCTCATTATTAGAACGGTTTTCAACGTTGTTGCTGTCTAGATGATTTCAGCGTTTCCATTAATTTCCAGTTCTTCAAGTATATTTCTCGGTTCTTAAGGAGCCTTCCCAGTATTCCGATAACAACTGGGAAGACTATGCTCAACGACTTCCTCAGTTCTTTAGACAGATGAGACATTAAACTTTTTTTCGTTCTTTCAGTTCTACACTTTAACTCATCACGACAACGAGATTTATTATTTTTCCTTATATTTTCATACTTTTTGTTTCCTCATTACCAAATCTGTTCTAACCTGAATCAAGTTGAATCTCAAAGTCCTAAAGGATTTCATCATCATCATCATCATCATTATCATCACCATTATTTATCAACTTTTTCTTTCTGAATTAAATTTGCGTTTGCTTTTGATTCTTATTAAATAAATGTCATCTGTTTTTGTTTAATTGAAGATCGAATAAAAATATAGAAACCAAAATTTTGTTCAATATAAAATAATAGATTCGAAGCGAAGAGGTCGTTCTTTTTATTTCCAAATAACAATTATAATTTCGCTTTGCTGTTAAATGCAATTAAATCCTTTAATAGAATAGATAAAGATGAGAATAAAAAAGTAATCATTTACGCGTTCTTTGAATCCATAAAGATGAAGCCAGAGATTCTACTGTAGCTCCATAGATGGCAAGCGGATGACAGTTGGTTCGATCCTAGCAGGGTACTTTATAATTGTTACTCTTGAGTTGAACTGACCGTCATTAAACATTTTTAGTTGATGCCGGCAAATACAGTCAAGGTTAGTAAGCACGTCTTGTCAGTAATGATTGACATTACTGTCAATCCCATTTTTGTGGGCTTCTACGATACTATGTTAAATTGACTATCTCTCTACAAGGAAAGCCGGATATTTTATTCAACAACATGGATGTTTATCATTTATATAATTCTTTCAACAAATAGTTTTTGAAATAATTAAGGACGCAAGATATTGAAATTCTGTCATTGCCGCCATTTCAATTGTCTTTCAATTATTCTACCTTCATACCTTGTTCTGATATTTATCATCAGTCATTTAGCACACACACACACATCTATCTATCTATCTATCTATCTATCTATATATATATATATAAATTTGTATATTCTTTTTTGAATTTATATTATTTTTCTTAAACAGTGAAATTAATATCAACAGGCCAATTCGGGAAAAATATTCCCTTTTGGAACTTCCGACATTATTTCCACTTTTCAAAATGGCGTGTAATCTCCGCTTTTGATGTCATTATTAACTGTTTGGTCACATTTTTCTTAATCTCTTTCAATGTCTGAAATATCCGTTTGAAGGAGATTTGGCATGGTCTCCAATTCGAACTGCAGTTAAGCTGACATATATTGGTGAAACACACACACACACACACACACACACACACACACACACACACACACACATATATATATATATATATATATATATATATATATATATATATATATACAAAGTCTGTTTAATACTTTTATTGTATTTTTCCAATTTTCGGATAAGGTGTTGAGTATTTCGCTCAAAATTGAGGATACACTGCCCGAATTTCCTATTTTGTTATTTTTGTTCAAGTACTTTCGCCGTTCACAGTCATTATCACGAACCGAGGTGGTGTGTATGTGTTAGAATTCCTTTGTCTGCATCTTTGGGAAGCCGGGCGTCATGTGTAACGGCTATTATAAACGAGGCCGCATAAAAACAAGGCGATTTATTTATTTATTTCATTTAAATTTTTATTTTTATTTCTATTTTTATTTTCATTTTACTTTATTTTTTTATTATTATAATACTGATAAAATATTAATTATTGTATAATAATAACTTCCAGAATTTTGAGTCTTTCCACGCACTGGGTGCTGTAGAGTATTTTCCTGTTATCTACTAATATTCGTCTTATTTTGATAGTTGCACATTGGTAGATCTTGATGTTCTTGTCGATGCGTGCATCGATTGTACTAAGCTTTGACAGGTGACAGGTCAACCTGCGAGAGAGTGTGGTGAATGTGTGACCAATATAAGTATTTAATGTTTTTTTTATTATTATTACTGTTGTAGATGCAATTTAGAGATGGCATTATTTTTACATAGGGAACATTTATAAGGATCAGTGCTGCTGGTAATAATTAAGCTTTGATGTTTTATACTTTTTATAGTAGATGATAAATCTTAGGTGATTGTTAGAATCGTTGAATGATATGAACTGGTTATGTTTTTTTCTTTATTGGCTTTCAACTTCTTTATAATTAGGGTGCATTTGGTTCTGATAGAATAAATTAATGGTGGTTATTTTTGTTTGCGTCAGGGAAGGGGACCGGTGTCATTTTTTAAAATTTTGTAATGGCTAATTTTATTTGCTCGTCAACAACGCGGTTAGGGAAATTAGTGTTGATTAGAGTTTGTTTAAATTTGTTTTGTTCCTTACAGAATATTATGTCCAAAGAAGAGATTACTTTAGCTCGGCAAATCATGTTTGTTTTATAACAACTATTTTTGTATCTGTGACGACATTTCATTTTTGTAGTTGAGTAAATATGAGTTTCTGCTAGCGGATTTCTTTTGTAAAGGGACGTGATAAAATGATTGTCTATTGACATTTGATGAATACGTCAAAGAAAAGGGATTTTATTGTTGTAGGACAGTGTTAATATCAAAGGTTTTTTTCAGTTTTTTAAAAAAAATTTTGTAATATAATTTGTTTGCTAATAATGTCGTCAATATCGCCATGCCATCAATTTGTGTATAGATGTTGTCATTGGGGTTGTAAAATGGTACTAGTGTCGTGCAGGATAGAAATTTTCATAGAATAGTTGGATTCATTTTAAGATGTGGGAACAGAACGACAGAACATAATTGTCCTACATAACATAATTGTGTATATGTTCTGTAGGACAATGTCTATAGTACCTTATATATGTGTGTATGTGTATGTTTGTAGTGTTTTTCCGATAGACACTTGAATTTGTTTTTGAAATTGAAAATTATTTGATTAATTTACCTGTTCATTCGCGAATTAAACTAAGCTATTCTAGACGACGTTAACGATAGAATTCTCTTTAATATTTTATTCAAAACATTGTGGATAAATATGCAAAAAATTGTTTTCTTAAAAATATAATTGACGTCTCCTAAAATATTAATGCGTCGAAATTTCTCATTTAAACATAATAGAACACATTTTAATGATACAATCGCTCAACTCAGTCTTAATATCTTTCTATGTTGATGAGAAGGCCTGATTTATTAACATTTGTTAAATTTGTAAATTTGTTGACTTTTTAAACGTATTATTGCATCTCGATACTTGGTCTAATTTGCTCCTGTTCTAAGGAGTCAAAATATAAATAGGAAGAATATATTGCGCACATTTTTAAAGTAAGGAAGACATAACTGCGTTGAAATTCAGTAACTGACACAGCATTTTTTACCTCAACAACAATTATTTCGCTGTATCGACCCCAAAAAGAGTGACTCTTCAGTGCACCACTATCGCTACAGATGCCCGTCTCTTTTCTTCTCCCTTTGAGATTTCAAGGTGAAATTATAAACCTCAACTAATTGCATTGACGGCAAAAGCGGAAAAGGTTTTATGAAGTTTCTGCAATGCAATTTATAGTAATTTCCCAGCGTGCATTAGCATACCACTGCTTTGGCAGGTTCAGTTGTATGCCTTCCTTTAAACTACTTTCTCACGACAACAAATGCAACTAGATACCCACATCAACCTTGAACAGAGCAAAATATCGATCAGTGGCCATCAGATTGATCGATTTACTTATAGCCTTTCGCTTTCCAACAAAGTCAAGCTTTTAAAAATATTCATCAATGTAAGGTAAAATGTCAAATGCGAGTGAGACGTTGAATTAGAAGAATGTCATGTGCCGTTTTGTAAATACAGCAGTTTATCATGTACTTGTGTTAAAATGTATTTACATTAGGTAAGACCATGAAATTGGACACCTTATAAAATGATATATACATATATTGTTTTTAAATTGCCTATATTGATGAAGAAGTTTGCTCAATATCAAAAATAGAGCGTTTATAGATATCGACGTATGAAAACCCAAGGGTTGCTAGACTATCTAAACAAATAAGGTGACGATTTATTTTCTTTCTTCACGTTTAATATATCCTCTCTTTTTGTCTGGATAGTGTGGACGGTCGGGACTAGTATTTTCCCATTTGTTCTTTGATTATATTTGAACCAGTCATACCTTTCGAAAGAACTGGAAATAGAGTAATAAATACAGTTTGTTACGAATTCTATAAACAACTCTATTCAGGTATGATTTTTAAAGTGTCCCTTCTACCAGACTAGTCAACAATCAATGCAGTAGTGAGCTTAGTCTGCTATTTAATCCGTTGTTGGACAAAAATGAATTCATAGCTTTTTTAAAAAGCATCAGCGCAGAGTGAGCGAAACAGAATCGACCGGAATTGAACTCGGCTCGATGATTACATTTTCCGAGATAACCATTAAACTACTCGTACATATATATCTAGTTGCCCTATTTGATGTCTGTCCGTAAATTCTTTCTTTCTTTCTGTATCCCTGCGTAAATGTAAGTAATATCTTAATTGCATAACCCTACATTTGTGCGATTATAAAATCCGTAATGCACTACATATATAATGTACGTCCAAGATACACATTTGTTGTTAATCTGTCTAAATAGGGCTCTTTGTTGGATTGTTGAATACATGAGTAGGGGAATAACATTGAAGAAGACAATTAGATATACCAGAATCATTATCGAGCATCTTGAACTGATGCAACTGATGGTGCTGAAAAACTTATCGACCCATCCCACTTCATAAAATTTGATCACTTTTGGGAGGGAGGAAGCATTTCGGGTGGGTTGAGAAATTTTCGGCTCTTACTTCGTATATTCCACAATTTCATTCTTTCTTTCTTATTCTGTATCTATGTAGCTTCATTAGTTAAATATTTCTAAGATGATCAGTATCTATCTATCTATCTATCTATCTATCTATCTATCTATCTATCTATCTATCTATCTATAAAGTGATGCGGTTTTCACGAACATAAAGTTGAAATGATATCTCTCTTATGTTTAATTGTCTTCGCACTAATAAAATTTTATTAGTGCAACGACAATTAAACAATCTAGACGACAATTAATAATCTAGAAAGCACTAAAAAGAAAAGAGAAGAAAGGACTAAACATCAATTGTAAGGAGACAAAATATATAGTTGTCATCAAAGGGACAGCCCAACATCCTATTTACAAATTGAATATACGAAAATTAAAGTCCAAAAATGTATGTAAATATATCGGAAGCGTTATAACAGAAAACTGAAAGTGGAAAACTGAAATCCGAAGGTGCATTGGAAAAGGGAAAGATGCATTCAAAAAGCCAAGCTATTAAGAAACAGGTAAATTATACTTAAGATCAGAAAGGGACAATTGAATTTTCTAGGGCAAATAGGGCTTTGAAAATGTGACAAACAGGGGGCCTATTGAAGGCAAGAGGGACAGAAGAAAACGTCACATAACCTATTTAACCAGCTTTTGTAAATGGTTGACAGAAAAGATAGCAAAAAGACAATATAAAGAATAGGAAACTGTGACTAACAGTGATAGTCCATGTCTTGATGTGACACAGTAGAAGAAAAGCACGTGAAGGATGATGTAAATCTTCGCAGTTTAAGAATATCATTTCTTCCCAGGCTTGCTTTATTGAGTGAGGTATTGTATTATCCTTCTAGAGAATGAACAGAAAGTTCATTAACATGAGACATTTCTCGTGTAATACTGGAGACACAGTACAATTATCCATCATTGTCTGCGTTGCATTACTTCCATCCTTTCTCTTTAGTACCTGGAAATTCTTACTTTTATCAAATTTTTACAACATACAATGGCGGTCATCAAAGACATTAAATACTGTGATCCATAGGTCGAAACGTTGCTATAAACTATAAGCGAAGCCACAACCGAAGAGAAGAGACATTAAACAAAATGTAGGTCTCATTATTTCACACTGATTTAACTTAATTTATAGAGCTTTCAGTGTGTTCATATATCTCGCCGACTAATGGCCAGTCAGCTTGTTCATGTCGCCCTCCATCTCTCTCTCTGTTTAGGCAATTCATATTGTCTTCTTTTGTAACGAGTTGTCCGTTCTCCATATCACTGTATCCTGATAACGGCATGATCTCCGCAATCTAATAGCCGCTTTACATAATAGTTTTTTTTTTTGCTTTTCCTCTGCTTCACCATTGACTTTCAAAGACATTTCATGATAAACAAAAAAAAAAAAAAAAATCAAAAACAAAAACAAAAACAAAGAAGCT